TTGAGGTTCTAGAAAATGTAGGTCTCTTGCCCAAGCTCTGTGGAGCAGCATGCATTAACATGATGCTTCTTCTGATGCGAATATGGGCTTGGATGGTTTCATAATGATTAAGGGCTGATACAGACCAGAGGAAGGAGGAAGACAGACAATAATAGAAGGTGGGTCTTGGGAGATAATGTCCAAAGTGGAGTGGGAGTCCTCATACTGAAATATGTTTTAGTGGTTGAGAAGAATCATCCTCAGGAAGAAACACATATTTATGTTCTATGTACTTTCACCATGGTTTTGGTATCAAAACCGACCATGAGAACTATTTCATTTGAATAAACATCTTGCCGAAGGACGAAGAATATATTTGGTTCCTTCGTTGGGTACTTTCACCAACCTTTTATCTTTGCCATCTGTATGCTTCTTGTACATTATTCTTTGCTGTCAGTTTAATTTGATACTTGTGACCTCAAACAAGAAGTTTCAGACAGAGGTTTTGCTGTTTGGCATCTATGTGCTTCTTGTACAAATCCCACATATTTTCTCATTTCATATTCCAATCTGCTCTTCAGACAGAGGTTACAACTGTGATTTGTGGGCACAAAGAACTGAAGAAACTTACAGAGCTAAGTGGACAACTTGACACAGTAAAACGTGTAATATGTATGGATGACGAGATCCAATCAAATGGAACGGCAGTTGAGAGAAACAGTAGTTGGACAATCACTTCCTTTACTGATGTGGAGAAACTTGGCCAAGAGAATCCGGACTACTTTCTCTCTCTTCTCTCTGCTAGATACACCTGTGTTCTTCAGATGCTATCTGTTTTTACATTACACATTTTCTGAATAATAAAGTTCAATTTGTGTTTTTAATTTTCGCTATCATTCAATTGTCCAAACTGAATTGGCACTATTAGTTTGAATTAATGTTTCTCTCATTCTTTTCTGTTGCTCAGACCAGAAGCAACCACTTTACCTGGTTTCTCTGGGGCCCACCCTCTACTTGCTCCATGTTTGGATGGAATTGGGAAATTTTCCCATCTGATTGACTTAGATTTTATGGCTGATCTTATGAATTATCTGAGAAAGCTTGCTGGCAGTGGAAGCAACTTGGATGGTTCTGAGAATAGTTTGAAGCGTCTGACTGTATCTGAACGCTTGCGGTGTTGCATTGTTGCTTTCAAAGTGATGAGGAATAATCTTGATGCCTTGAATGTTGATTTGCAGGACTTCTTTGTCCAGCTTTACAATCTTTTATTTAAGTACAGGCCAGGAAGGTCAGTATGAAAGCTGTTTAATGTTTCCTTTGAAATAATTTCTGGATTTTGATGCCGGAACATTTTCTGCATTAAAATCTAAATTTATGTGTTAAATTGTTAGCTGGTCTGTGCATAATCCAAAAACCCATTCAACTAACCCCAACTAATGTTATAGTAACCTCATTAAAGGCCGAATTTGAGTTTTAAATTCTCAAGGATATCTTTGAAATCATTGCGGTGACTTTATTGCATTATTTATAAGCCTAGATGCCTCAGATTCTCCTTGCTTGTAATCCTGTAGTTTTTGTCTTCCTCACTTACATCTGCACCTGCAATCGTCTGATAGATTTCCACTTTCTCCCTTTTTTATTTTTCACTCTTATTTCCCTAGATTTCCACTTTCTCCCTTCTTTATTTTTCACTCTTATTTCCCTTCAGTTTTTCTTAATTTAGTAGCTAAACCCCTTTCCCCAACCCTTTAAAAGGACGAGAAAATGGTTGTTGGAGAGTTTTTATTTTACTGCAATGTGCAAGGTAATCACTCATGTTTGTCAGCAGGGATCCAGGTGATGTGTTAGCTGAAGCTCTGAAGATAATGTTATGTGATGATAGGCAACATGACATGCAAAGGGCTGCTGCATTCATAAAACGTTTGGCCACATTCTCTTTATGCTTTGGAGCTGCAGAGTCGTTGGCTGGTATATAACTGTTTTGCTGATTCATCACGCCTACTTCATCTTGTTTCATTATGCCATAATATGTTATTCTTCTTGGGAATGCTTGCAGCCTTGGTTACATTGAAGCATCTTCTTCAAAAGAATGTCAAATGCCGCAATCTGTTAGAAAATGATGCTGGTGGTGGATCAGTTTCAGGTCCCATTGCGGTAAGATCTTGTATTGTTTCTGGTCAAGAGATGGAAGATTCACCTTGAAAATTTCGTATCTAATGTGCCTCTTGGACCTGAACCATGTTGTTTTGTTTGCTATGTGATTCTACTGTGAAATTGGACTAATATGTGAGTTGTTTATATATTAATTTTTTTAATTTGCAGCCGGGAGGTGGTTTACGTGGAAGGAAAACCGCTTAATTTCAAATTGCCAATTTTGGAATTTTTAAAAAATATCCGATTATGCAATGACCTGCACTTTTCTATAGCTCTTCTTTTTAAAAAAAAAAAATTAATCCAAGTATTCCCTGTAAAAGGGGGCTTTGATATTTTCTTGGTATTCCATAGTCTCGTCAAATATTGTTACATATTAAATTTACATGTGATTTTTTACTCGTGCCTTGTCCAAGAGATGTCCCTCTAGATACTGAATTTCCTTGGTGCAAACCAATAACCATTTTGGTTGCTTGCAGAAATATCAGCCATATGCTTCGGATCCACACCTCAGTGGTGCACTTGCTTCTGTCCTTTGGGAGCTGAACCTTCTGGCAAGACATTATCATCCGACCATTTCTACAATGGCCTCGAGCATTTCAACCATGACCGCTGCACATAACCAGGCCCTTCATTACAATGCCTCTCCTCAACAAGCTTTTGTGGAGTTGTCACTGGAACAGGAGGCATTCAACCCAAGCTTTGAAAACAGGAGATCAAGTATTAAGCGGAAAAGAATAAGTGGGTCTACTTCCGTTTCAGCCTGTGTTGAGTCAAGTCTTGATACGACAAGTCAGACTGATGAAAACGAGGTCAGGAAGAAACTTTCTGAGCATTTCTTTCTGCTTCGTGACATGTCAGAAAATGAGAGATTAAGGGGCGAGTTAGATAGAACAAAACTGTCTTTACAATTATATGAACAATATAAGAAGCAAAAGGAAGAAATCAAGGTAGCTCAAGAGCAGTAAATATGAAATTTTGTTGGACTATTTTTATTGAAATGTTGGTTGGGTCTTGGCAAAATTTTTGGAATCTGTGTCTAATGGTTTTATAATGTCTTGGGTATTTGGTTTATGTTAATTTGGTCCTTAACTTATTTGTTTTTTAGTTGAAATTGATGATTGATGTTGCTGTCGAAGGTTGTGCATAGTTTTTACTCGATTGACAGGAGAGACTCCACCCCCACCCTAGATTTTTACAATCCGGAAGGTGCTGAATAATTAGAAGCTTGTCTTAACAAGCCAAAGTATGAAATCCACCCTCTCCTCTTACTGGTCATCTATCTAAATACATACTACAACAGTCAAAGCAAGAGGTTACCGTACAGGATGGTAATTGTAAAAGCAGATGCCTCTCTGCCTTTCACGATTGATCCTAAATCACCTCTAAAGGATTTAAAAAAATTATAATTTGAACCATAAATAAAAATTATAATATCACCTCAAAATTTATAATTTTTTTTTACCGTAAATAAACTTGAAAACTTGTATCTCAACCTATAAAAATTGTGAAATTTGTTTTTATGATACCG